AGTCGTTATTCAGACGAGTGTATACGCAGTCTTTTCAGATGTGGACTACCCGCGAAGTTCGGACATATCGCATGTTGAAGAGGTTCGTTTTGAAACGAACATGTTAATTTATCTGTTTCGAACTTTGAGACTTTTCTTTAAATTCAAAAATTCGTCTTAAAACACTCGCCACGTTCTGGAAGTGTCGAAATATAATGCAGAGGACAAACAGTGAGAGGAATTGCTCGGATAAGTGGAGTACAGTGAGAGAACACACAAATCAGCAAGGAAATTCAAAAATAGAATAAATTTTATTGCTAAATGAATATATTAGCACAGGATGTGCTTTTCTATTTGGTACTGTTAATTTCAGCACGTTTTGCACGAGGTTGCAAATGCTCCAAGCGTGAATGCCAGCCGTATAGCAGCAATGTATCAGCTGGATTTTATGAATCCAAAAACTGCAGCTCTTGCAAAATTGGATGATATAGGTACGCTCAAAGTCTGCGAGCCATTACATGAGTTTGGAATCGCGGAGTGCTGCCAGATAGTTGTTTTTTCGCCTGCTTTTTGAACAACTCCTTGCTTATTTGGTATAGTGTATGCATTAGGGATGTTACTATTCCCGGTTTTTTCAATATTTATGCTAAAAATCTCGTCTTTTTTTCACGAAACCTAAGCTTTTGGCAATTGATAAATCGATTTTTACCTCAATTATCTGTATAAAAACAAGTTTCTTTGCCTCTGGCAATTCAGGTATTTCTGTTTTGTTCGTTTTCGGAATTTAAGCATGAAGTCCATAATAAGTTAGGCTTAGGTATAGTCAACGTCATTTGAATTTGTTTAAAAATTAGCTAAATTGCAGATCTCTCGTTGCTTTCAAGATTCCTGTGTTTGGAAGAAGAGGTAAAGGATGAGGAAGTGCCGTGGACATGGGACTATGTTTTCGCAAGTGTTAGTTCAGAGATGCGTGAGGAGTGGGCGCAAGAAGAAGAGCATGAAGATACGGGTTATGAGGACGAGCGTCGTGTGAAATGAATGATGATAATATGTAAAATTTCATCTCCTGTCTTCTACGGCTGTGCATTTATCATAAGAATAGGTAGGTTATGAAACATGTTTTCGTCTGCGCAGTTATCGGGCTCATGTAAATATGATAATCGCACTGCTAAACTCTGCCGTTTTTTCGCTTACTGATATTTCGAGAATGTGGAAACCGTAGCCAAACATGAAAAGTGGTACTTTTCGTGCCATAATCGAGCTGGACCCGGTTATTTTTCTTGATTCTCTCTCTCTCTCGCCCTGAATTACGCATCGTAAAGTTCGTGCGCAGTGGTTGGGTCGTCTGTTTTGGTCGAGACAGAAAATGTGGCCGATATCCGCTTCCACATTCATGCATTTTATCTTCTTAACAGCTAGTCGTGAAAGCGTGTTTTGATAGCTCTCAGCTCTGCTTCGCTGCTTCTTTCAAAAAACCAAATCTTTTGGATGATCGAAGTGATATTTGCACTGGCTTGCTTTCCTTTCCTTTTTTTGCTTCTTTGATTTGTGCATTGGTTGCTTGTAAAATCAACTGAATGGCGCAATAGCGAGTGGCGTTGTTGTGCATTAGACAGAGGGTCATACTCCACCAATGGGACAAGCAGTTGTTTTAAGATTCGTTTATTTGGTAGATATCAGTAAATTAAAGCAAAATTAAAAGGGCATGTGTAGTAAGAGCATGGATAGGAGAAAAATTAGAACTATTTTTGTAAAGGTTTATGTGTACGAAGGATATCAAGGCCGCCCGGATATCACTGTATGTATATGCTACATACAAAACTGAAAATACTTTGACCGTTTTCACCCGAATATTGCGTGTTTTCGGACACTTACCCAACAATTGTTCGTTGGATGATACCTTCGGCAAACAGTGGTTCCCCACTGGGCGACTGTGAAGTACAGCGCGGAAAAAGAATACACAGCCAACGAATATTACGAACAGTTGTGGTAATTGCAACAGGAGGAAAGTGGGACAAATAGGTAGGGCTCTTTAGATGAGGGTGAGAGCCTCATTAGGTTCCGGCAACGAAGAAGCGTTGCTTCCGGGTCGACGAGCTGGGGCTTGAATGGCTTCCTTTGGTGTACTGATGGATGTGGAGTGACCAAAGAGTGAGCGAGTTTTGGACTTCGGGTTCGAAAGAGAAAGGAGGAGAAAAGGGGATTCTCTGTTAAGACCTAGATGAGAAATAAGGGCCGGTAGAAACTAGCGGAAGCTCTTGGTAAAAGTGTGGATCTTTTGAGGTCATAATCTGTACTGCTTTCCGTGAAGCTGTCGTTCATTATGCATTCCATTGCACTGATAACATACAAGATGTTCATCTGAACATATTGCGCAGCAGTTGATCGATTACTCAGAGATAGCGCAATTTAAGTAATTTAGAATCCAATACTTTGTTTCATGCTCCTTGATGTAATTGGGAATCACATTCTTGTAACATATTAGTCCCTCGGGGTCATCTGTGCCTCCACTAAACCGTCCAGGTATACCTCCTGGGAGCTTGTCCACCGAG